AATGTAATTCTATTTTGAAAACGTTTCATATGATTATTTGTAACCCGGTATTAACAAAATAATAACGTAATATTAATACGTATAATATATTAACGTAATAATTAACAGAAAGTTTAATTTTGAAAAATTATTTAATATTCTTATTTGAGAAAAATAAATCAACAGATGATAACATTACCACGTTATTTTATCTGATCGAGAAGCAACGAGACAAAGATCTAGAAAAATGAACAAGAATAAATAATTAACAGGAAGATTTATTTTATAAATTATTTAATATTCTTATTCAAGAAAAGTTACAATAAACAGATGAAGAGTTTAATTGTGGATTACATCTCGTATCGATATCTCAATATCACGAATCAACAGAAGTTTCCTTGACAGATTTGCATCAATTCTTGTCCAGTCAATGATTTAACAAGATCCTTAACTTCTTGTGAAGCTGAAGCTCCTTTAGTCTTTGAAACGAACCAGGCTTTAACTATTATTTGAGCAATGAAAAAATGGAAAATAGTAAACGATGATTGAATTGCTTGTGTTATTAAATTATTATATCAAATAATTTACTTACCATCAACAGTTGAATCGTCAATTTTAACACAACTTGCTAAGACGGCTTCTTCATATTTAGGATTGTCATAATAAGGCATCCAAAATTTACCTCGTCGACCATCTGAAACCAATTTTGAATATTATTATTCTTTGCATAAATTTACCTAAAATTCATCGTTTACCTGCAGTTTCGAAGTTGAATGAGTAGGGTTCATAGCCCTCTGATACAAGTTCATAATATGATCTTCCATTGAATTCACCAACAGTCATTTCGATATACTTGTCCCAAAGTGACTGGACAACACTGTTATATAATAATTGTTTGTTCATTTGATAAGATTCATATAGAATAATTATTCATGCAATTGAAACTTACTTGTCTCTGGTTGAACCTTTCTCGATAACGGCAACTTTTCCAGGATAAAGGTGGTTAATCTCAAGAGTATTGTAGACAGTTCTTGGAACAGTTTGTTCACTTCGACCAATAACTTTCCAGTCTCCTACAAACTAATACGATAAAGTAGCATCATTAATAATAATGATGATGATTGGATTGAGTTAAACTTACTTCATTGAAGTGCCGATGAGGGCCTTTGGGTTGGGCTATTTTTGGACATGAACCCTTGATTTTAACTGCAAATGAGGTTGAAATTGCAAGAGCAATTAAAGCAACAAATAAAGTTGACTTCATCTTTAACGAAACTGTTGGTAACAAAGTAAATGTAATGATCAATCGAAATGATAACTGTAATGACTTGAAATCCTACGAAAATTTTGCTTTTATACACGAAAATCCAAGCCCAATGTTAATACACATGTCGAATCACTGTCAATGCAAGTGTGAAAAAATGGAACTTAAACAAGTACATATTTCATGAACTTAACATCTGAAACAAAAGAATCATTAATTGATAATGACAATCGCATGAAACAATAAAGCACTGAAGTTTGTCTAAAGTTGTGGTTTTAAGTCAGATTATGTTGATCCATTTAATGTTTGGTTCTAATAAGTTATAAGAAATAAGCTGTTGTAAGATATAACTTATGTTAAATTTGATGTTTGGTCACATAACAATTGACTGTCATAACTATTGTACCTTTAAAAAATTTCAAGTTTAATTTCCGATTTGAGTCGAGATCTAGCCAATCCAAACATATATAATATAAAGTGAAAACATCAATCTTTTGCGCTAAAATTGTGGCCAACTAAGAGGGTTCTGATTAAGGAAAGTTTTGACGTAGTGCGATTGTATGCACGAAAAATAGTCACGGCCTTATCGGAATTCGTGATAATGAGAAATTGATGTATGGAGGCAAGAAGAAAATGCAGAATCTGTATTTTAAATTATTGAGTTTGAGGAAAAACTCTTATGATGGTATATTGTTGGGTTAGGAGCATAGTAGAGTTTGGGGAAAAATTCGGTTCTTCAATAGTGCACAACGATTTTCTCAAAGACTGCCCATCAGATGAATATTTTGATCGCATAAATGAACTCGATTTTCTCTATTGGATTCTAAACTTCGAAACGAATTTCGAACCAGAAAAGTTAAATATTTGGTTGGTAAGATGAAAATTTTTATCAATACTTATTCCTTCGGTATGAATTAATTCCCTCATTTAAGCAATTTATATTTTCAGAACATCAAGATTTGCGGAATGATGAAATACCTCCAAGTTATACGTTTGATTATGTTTGCTTTCGAACAGAGGAACCAATTGATGGAACTTGTTTGAGCACATTATTTCCAAATCTAATGGTCTGTTGGATAATTCAGCTTTATTGTTTGCTCAATATTCATTTTGTTATGTTATTTGCTGTCTTGTCTTCTTAGATTGCCGATTTTTCTTGTGGATTCGGTAAAAAAGTTAAATATGAAGATATCGTTACATTTGTCAAAAAGATAAAACATTTGAAAGGATTATCTCTTTACTACAATTACGAGATTTCAGTTTTGCTAGATTGGATCAACTCGAAATGATATCCACGAATTGCATTGACCCATGCATGGAAAAGAATGGTGTCAACATCAAACAATTGCACCTTTGGAGTTTGCAAATTATATTATTTCAAGCAAGATGCTCGCTATTTTCCGAATCTTGAAAGAATACACATTTATTTCAATGAAAGTGAGTTTTAAATACTATAACATTATATTTTAATAGTTGTATTTCATTTCTCATATTTTGAACAAATTATTGAAAATGAACATTCATGTTTTATCCTCAGGCCGGTCAGATGGCTACTACGATGGTCCCATATTGAGAGAACTTAAAATACTTGAACTGTTCTTGTCTCCATATGGTTATGAAGACATTTATTATGGTTTCCGATTCATGGATTCATGTCCAAATCTTCAAAGTGCACACATTTACTTGCAATACGAGCATATTTTTGCTGCTGAATCTTTAAAACATAAATCTTTGCAAGATTTAATTATTGAATTTGTAAGTATTATTTTATTTGAAATTTTTCTGCTTCCTTTATGAAATAATCTTGATATTAATCAAATTTCCAAATCAAACACATTCTTAGAGATGTCCATCATGACAAAAGTACCTGAATTTATATTAATTAACTTATCTTTATGTGTACAGTATCATCCTGGTTATAATGAAAGTTTTAACTGGAATGATTGGAAAAGCTTGTTCAGAAAATATCCAAATCTTAAAAATCTTAAACACCTTACACTGAGGAGATTCAAGAACCTGGAAAATGAACATGTTGAGCAATTGGTTCGCATTTTACCCAATTTGGTGCTATTTGATGTTCGTTGTTGTCCGGCAGGAACTCAAAAGGCTGCTAATTATATTAAAGATTGGAATAAACTATATAGATGATCAATGAAATTTTATTTCAATGAGAATCAACATGAAATCAGATCAGATTGGCCTCAGTTGTTCACTAACTGTGAAAAAATAAGTCAAGGTTTTGATTTCATGAAAAATTGCTTCCTCAAAGATTTTGGTAGCCTTTCTACTTTTTTGATCTCTAATGCAGAGTAATTAACAAAATGTAAACATTTAATATTGATATTGATTGATATCTACAATTAAAGTCTCTAAAAATCAGTCCTCTTTGGGACTGTTCTTGTGAAATTTAAATGTGTTGAGGTTTTAACACTTTTGATGCTTGAGAATGAGTCTAACTTTAATATCTCAGATTTTTCATTTTAATTTCTTATAAACTTATTTATTTTCCTACTTCTTCATGAAATATATACAATAGCATTTCTTTCACTATTCATCAATTTTTTAGTCTAAGTTTTTCCAGACAACCCAATATCGGCAAGCTTGATTGGATGACAACTAAAGCTTAAAAAATATAATAAAAGGTACTTTAGCTTTTCTATTTCAATATTTATCAAGAACTTGTTGCACCTGTAATTCAACACATCGGTTGATCAATTATAACAATGAAAGATTCTAAGATTACTGCTGGATTAGTCAAAAAGTTTCCGAATCATATGAATATGGCAATAATCGTCTGTCAACCGCTTCCTAGACACAAGTGTCTTGATTTCACTTTATTATGCCATCTACTGTAAGAAGAGTGATGAAGAAATGGTTTATTTTCTTTGGATGGTTCATTATGATTAGATGAGTTGATCAGTAATTAAAACGAAACTTGAAAGACTCATTAGAACAAAAATAGACAGAGTAAATCTTTAATCGTCTTGAATGCAATCGAATAATATGTTACTGGGTAGCTTTCAATCTGTTCGTAGCGTTAGCATTGAGCACAAGTTTTATAAAATGTAATTTTTTTCTCAATAGCCATTCCAATTGCGCGATCAATTCACCAAGACAAAAGCCCTCTTAGAATCGTCGATTGATTAAAATAATCTCCTAAAATATATTCATTAGAAAACTCCATTACCAGTTCATGCCGATACCTTTTTAGATCTCCTTTTATAT